ATATTGACTGATATACATGGTCACAGAATATGACAGCTGCTATCATATATTGTGACTTCACTGTAGCTTGGTAAATAGTAATATTTATTTAAAAACTGTTTTTGCTGATAGTTTACATCCTCTAATATTAAAATAACTTTTGACCACTGAAATATTGAGTGTTATTAAATTATTACAGGGTCACAGAATATGACAGCTGTTATCATATATTGTGACTTCACTATATCTTGGTGAATAGTAGAAATATTTGTTCAAAAACTGTTTCTACTCATTTGTTTACATCAACAAAAACAATTTAAAAAATCAACAATCAGCAGATGCAGTTTTTTTAAATAAATATTGTTACTATTTACCAAGCTACAGTGAAGTCACACTATATGATAGCAGCTGTCATATTCTGTGACCATGTATATCAGTCAACATGTTTTATTTTTATTTTATTTCTATTTATTTTTTGCGCACGTGTCTTCAGCCTCTGAGCAAAGGCTACACTTTTAGGCGTAAGTTAACATATTCTTCTTTGTGCCCATGTTCGGCCAGGTTCTGTTGTGGATCAGCAACAGCACCCTCTCTGGTCACAATATATGATGTCACAACATATGATGTAACACCTGTTAACTCTATTTTTTTCATGTAATAACCACATTTGTTACGTTTAAGACGCAGGTTAGGTTTCAGACTTTTTAGCTAGCTAGCTTTCCAGTTAAAAGTTGCGTTCAATAGCCTACCTTTGCCTGGTGGTCCATCCGTCAGAATGGTCCGTATAAAACAAGTTTTCGCCTTCGCTTTACAGTTTTCACTTGAGTGAGAACTATCCTATAAGTATGGAAGCCCATTTCCCCCACCCTGATAAAAAAATAAATAAAATTTGAATCTCATAATTATGACTTAGCTATCTCATTATTATGAGATACTATCTCTAATTATGGGATAACTATCTCATAATAATGAGATAGCTAAGTCCTATCTCATAATTATGACTTAGCTATACAAGTTTTATTTTTATTTTTTATCAGGGTGGCGGAAATGGGCTTCCATAATAAATAAATAACTTTTTTAAAAATCATGTTAATTTGCTCATGTTAAGCTGGCTAATGTTAAAATATACTTTTTTAGGGTAGTGAAATCTACAGTGGTTTGTTAGAAAATCTTTAGATGCAAACAAATGAAGTTGAAATAAAAATGCTAAAGTAGTACAGTACAAGTTAAATGTTGGCAAATTGTCTTGTGGTTTAAAAGTAAAAACAGAAAGACATAATGCTAATAAATTTAATCAAAGTTTCTTTCTTTCTTTTTTTC